GTGAGTTTGACTCACTCCGTCACGACAAGCGTCTGCTTTGTGCCCAGTCTGACCACACTTGAAACATTTTATGACCGTGGGACTTGTAAAGTTAGTACGACAGTTGTTCGCGCGATGACCCACTTGGTTACACAGAAAACATCGCGGAACACTCTCCGGTGCACGCTTTTGTTCGGGTGCCGAAATTTTCTAATCTTCGGGACACTCCTTTTTGACCTTGGCCAAACTAGTTCCACCTTGCGCTTCCAAGAATTGATCAGCCAATTCAAGCATGCCTTCAAGTGACTCAGCCTTCCTCTCTTTCAAGTACAGCGACAGGCTTGGGTGGCAACTAGTAAGAAATTGCTCTCTAATAAGGAGCTCTCTAAGTTCTTCGTGCTCCTACGCTGTCCCTGAAAGTTCAATCCATCTGTCGAAATAATGGCAAAGTCGGGTGGCATACTGCGTAGCCGTCTCACCATCAGCTGGCTTTCCTGTCCGAAATCTGTTCCGGAATCCTTCCACAGTAAATCTAAATCGCTTCAATAAAGCAGTTTTCACCTTTGCACAGTTGGCTGCATCGGTCGGCGTCAGCCTACCGTACACACTGAGCGCTTCACCACTCAAGCAAGTACTCAAAGCAGTTGCCCATTGATGTTCCGGCCAATTTTGGCTCCTCGCAATTGTCTCAAATATGTGAAGGTACGCGTCAAAGTCGTCCTTGCTTTCATCAAACGCTACGAGCAGCTTGCTTGGGTTCAAGCGGAAGCCACGATCTTCCCGTTCACTGCTTACAACTCCAGCTTGGACCGGAGTCTCACTTCGCTGTTGCAAATGGAGCCGCTAGAGTTCCATCTCGCGCTGTCGCTGCCGTTCCCTTTCCTCTCTTTCTTCTTTCGCCCTCTCAGCTGCCAGTCTTTCTCTCTCCAGCTCCAACTTCAATTGCTGCTCTCTTTCGTCTTTCAGCTGTCGCTCCTTTTCCTCTCTTTCTTCTTTCGCCGTTTCAGCGGCCAGCCTTTCTCTCTCCAACTCAGCTGCTTTTTCTTCCTTGGCCCTCTCAGCTGCCAACCTCTCTCGTTCCAACTCAGCTGCTTTTTCTTCCTTGGCTCTCTCAGCTGCCAACCTCTCTCTCCCAACCTCAGCTTCTTTTTCCGCTTTGGCTCTTTCGACCGCCAACCTTTCTTTTTCCAGCTCAGCTACCTCTTCTTCTTTGACCTTCTCTTTTTCTTCTTTTTCCTTCTCGGTGACCCACTTCCGTAGTTCGGCGCCAGAAAGACCCATCTTCTCACCAAGAGCGACTAACTTTTCGAGATCCATTGTATCTCGCAAATAAAACCTTGCCGCGTGAAAAAATTATCTGCCTGAATCAGTATATCGGAACACGCTCCTGCACTCGTTAACGAGAACACTGAGCAACACACAAAATCGTTCCGATAGCACTATACACATTTCGAGGCTCTTTCTCACTACTTTGGACACACTGTGCACCAAAAGGTCCTCGTCGCGGACGCCAGATTAATTGTCACGGGTACCGTTAATTCGGGAGGCGATCACCGGGATAATTCCAAAGGCCGAAGTATCGGCCCCCCGATCCGCACCACGAAAGCGTGGACAATTTAGAAGTGGTCCTATTTGGCGCGCCAGCGGACGCCGGCTGTGGTCCAGAGAACGAGTCAGAGCCGAAAGTTGATAAACAAACAAAATTATATTCTCAATAATGGCAGATCCAAAACAATACACAAGTATGCACACTTCACAATAGTTGAGTACAATATGTCACCAATCAAACAACGTACTACACAGTACAATCAGCCACACTCGAAACAACGAACACAGACAACAATACACACTACAATGCAGTTGCATGCATTGAACAACCAAGACACTTAAAGACTAAAGGGATAGAGAACCTAATCAGTCCAAAGTCCTTGGAACAAAAGTCTGGATGATACTCTTCCGAGAATCACTCACTCAAAGTCCAGCGTTGTTGTCGTTCCGCTGCCCCCGAAGTTTCTCTTCTAGGAAACCTCGACTGCCCCCAAAGTTTCTCTTCTAGGAAACCTCGCGTCTTCACTTGGCCACTCTCTAAGCTTCAACCTTCTTCGCCGGAAACACGTCGGCTTCACACACGCAGCTGTTGCCACGCGTCTTCGCTCGATAGCGGTAGACACACGCTCTTGCCTGTAGCTCGAGCCTTCACCCCTCAGGTTCAAATCCTCTTCATCTCCTGCTTTGTCACTACGGACAAAACCTTCGCCGACTACACGGCGGAATACCCTACGCGCTCTGGCGCTAACTTCCGTCTTCTCCTAATTTCTCATCTCGGCTGCTCGATTAAATACCTTCCGCGCGAGATTCCAGAAAGTTCTCATCATTTCGTTGGCGTAATCCGCAGCAAAGGCTGGGGAGAGGGCGAGACGGTTCGAAGGCCGTCCCCGACGGATGACGCAACCCGGCATCCCCACGCCCCTTTCCATCTAGAAAATTCCAGGGCTTGCTCGGCCGCCGATGCGAGGAGGTTTCGTCGGCGAACCCACGCTTCCGAAGGGAGAGGGGCGCGCGCCCGGGGAGTCTTTGGATGCTTGTTTTCTTTTTTTATGCCTGACCTCGCGGCGTCTCTCCCACGCTTTATCGCGAGAATTTGGCGGCGCGCCCTTTTCGAGCGCTCGCTTTGTGACAACAATTCACCGAATTTCTCGCGCAGAAGACAAAATAAACGTTTTATTGTTTTATTCAGTTTCTCGAGACGCAAGACTATCGTCTTTTGGTGACATTTGCAGTGAATCATGCAGATACGGGGCCTTTTTTTTCCCTGCGTATATGTGTCGCTCAGTAACGTTGATTGATAGTCACTGGATTACCTTTCTTCGCTGGTATACTGTATAGTGCAATAACTTTTGCCTGCTAGTAGCAAATGCATGTGGATCTGCCCTCTATTTACCACGCTAATCTTCAGCTGCCACCAATTACCCCCAGAATTTTTGGCTTAACTGAAGGAAACTACTTTTTTTCCGTTACTGCATTACTTTCGGTCCAATTCACGAAGAGAAGAACGGGACTTGGTGCATTTTGCTGATAGGTAATTTTAAGGAGGTATCGATTCGTCGGTGAGAGTAGTACTTTTTCTTCATTTATGTTCCGTTTTGACTCGCTGATAAATACCTGGATCTGAAAGATATAGAGGCATTCTAGCATTCCTCCTTTTCGGAGGCTTCTACTTGCGTAAATATCGTCTTTGAATGGTATTGCTCTCCTATTCTGATTCATAATTATACTCCTACATCGCGTGCGGGTATTTCTGAGGTGATCAACCGAAAGGCAGTTACGCTCTAGATAACAGAGTGCCCTGTCATGTCATTGAATGACGAGTTTGTTAAACTGGAGCGAACGATATGCAGATAAGCACCACGCTTAGTTCATCCAACGGCCTGTGCGTTTTGATAGTGCGCTGTTGGGTCGATGATGCCAGTGCTGACGTGTTCATTACTAATATTTGTCGTAGCCATTGTTGTCAGGACCAACGAGTGTCCCCTTCTCAGGGAGCAGAAACGTTACTACGGTATTCGTAGTTTCTATTTATGTTGCTGTAGCAGCGTACTGCGTATAGCAATAGTGGTAGTAGTAGTATTCGGGAATGAACGACTCCCCCCCCCCCCCTTGTCCACACGCTTATTATTCGAGCTGTGATCGCATTCGATATCGCAAACTTGGCATGCTTCAAGATGTTTAGTTAGAGAATATTCACTAAAGCTTGAAGAATACTCAGTGAATTGGATACGTGGTACGTTGTTAAATAAAAGAAGGAAAGAAAATCCTTTTGAGTTTGCAATCTGCAAAGTGCTGTGTTGGAATTTTTTTTCTCTCTCTGCAGTTGAGGAAAACGCTACTTCTCGAAGCCCAAGCTAACTAGACATACAACGCAGTAAAAAGAAAATAAGAAAAAGAGATGGCTGCTTTAGTAGCTCTATAGCGTCTTTTTTCATGTTTTAGGCAGTGTTCATTTGACATTATGTTCGCATATGCCTAGAACTAAACGCCTCATTAAAACAGCCCCAGATTTCCCGCCAATAAGCATAACACGTAATCTGTATAATTTTTTAGATGCCCCCTTAAACTCCTGTGCCACTCGAACTGAAAATAATGCGCTGCAGAAAATAAAATACACTAAGGCACAGCCTTTGAGCAGCTTTTTGATATTTATGATAAGTTTATTAGTTAACAAACGACTTCGTTTGATGTTGCGACGTGGGATATACAAATGCAATGAAATTACGTTTCAGGCAATCCACTGAGGTAGCTTGGCAGGCTGAGGGGTAGTACTGCTGCAGTCTAAGTCGCCGATTCAGTTCTAATTCACGACGTCCGCTTTTCAATTTCACTGAATTGTAAGCTCACGGGTGTACTTAAGTTTGGGTCAACGTTGAAGAAACAAACGTAGTCAAAACTAATCGGGAGGGCCCAGCTAGCTACGGCGTACCTCATAATCATATCGTTCAATCGGCCCCTAATATGATGGTGATTTTTAGGGGTGAATTAAGCCATGGACCGTGCGTCTACGATGTATGTAGCCACGTCTAGTTTAGTCCTTTAGTTTAGCCACGTCTAGTTTAGACAAGGCCAAGCGGACCTTCGACCAGGAAGTTCTGTAACCTTCTGATGTCACGTTATGTGACGTCCAAGTGACACAATGATGACGTGCATGTTTGGTGATCCGTGACGCCTCGGTGGAGTCGTCATGTGATGATAATTTTTTTTGCATGAGTTGTGTCGATGCCAACGGTTAATTCTCGCGTTTGCCGAGGCATACAACGCAGTTTGCCTCAAGAAGATACTGTCTCTAGCCAAAGACGTGCGGCGTCATTGTGCGATGGTAAGCTAACTGAGGAAGACGAAGCAAGCAAAGGGGCGCATGGCACGGGATCCGTCGCGCTCACGTTCGCAGAAGAAGAAAACTCCTCGTGAGGTGCGGTCGTGTTCGGCTTCGCTGGAACGCCCGTAACCGCCAGGCTGCTGCTGCCGCCATGGAAGAGAGTCCGTTCGCCTGCAAGGGCTTCTTGGTGGAACGTGTCCTCGACCACCTGGAGACCGAGGAACTGTTCCCATGCGCCGAGGTCAACCGGCTGTGGCAGTCGGTTGCCCTGTCCTTGCTGCGCAGGAAGCTGATCTCCGTCTCCGTTTGCTGCGCGCCGGTGAGTCGCGTCGCCTTCGTTTGTGGTAGAGGTTCGGCTAGATAAAGGCGGCGAAGCAGTCTGTCAATACGAATAACTTTACTTTCGTGCCGTTTTGGACTCCAGACAAGTTATGGCATTACTTAACCACCGATGGTTGGGGCTCCGACCTGATGTTGTGTGGGAACCTGGGTTCCAGGACTGTTCTACGATACGCGCGACAACCGCAGAGCCCACTACATTCCATCATATTCTACTCTAGGGACGCCAGGTTTGACTTTCGGACAGCTGGAGGGCTCACGCGTGTGCTGGAACCACGACGCGCGCTATAGCCATCTCGACCGTCCCCCAAGCAACTGGAGAAGGGCGTAGCCTCTTGATAAATATTACAGTAGTTTAGTCTAGAAAGCTCAAGCACGTGATCGCTTCTCATTCATAGGGAAGGTGGCCAATCTCAAAGTTTCTAGACAGGGCCTTTCGGGAATCAAATGCTATGCCTACGGGCGTGTACTGCAGTATTTCGTCATTGACAGAAAGTAACATATGCCTGTGCCAGTTTAGGGTTGTTGATGTGTGGCCTATCACTTGGTCGTTTCTATTTGCGGCTTTATTTACTCCTCTCGTTGTCGTGGTTTGCCCTTCTATTTGATGGCTAGCGGCAAGGGGCGCCACGGAACATGAAGGCTGTGGAACATGGTCGGCCCAAGGTGCACTACTATCCATACGTTTACTTCTTAACCGCGTAGAACTAGTGCTGGTCGGTAAACTTCCAACTTGTGAGGTGCGCGAGCGCGTGTGCATTCTGTTCAGATACCTATAAAGTGTCGTGTGTCAAGCTTTGAGTAGAAGCTTGAACGAGCTGATAAGGATACACTTCGGTATTAACAGCATATACAAAACGGAGTACAGGACAGGCGTAGCCAAAGAGAATTGACGAAGGCTTCTTTGCGTATGCCCGAAGAAAACTAGCAACTGCGCGAACGACAGTAAGGAGCCTAGGTGAACAGCCAGTCTTACTTGTGTCGGTTAGTATACATGTCTAAGGAAAACGAGTAACGCTGCGAATAAAGGGACAAGGCAGAGATCACTTGAATGCTGTGCTGCGCTGGACTCAATGCTTATACCTTTGTCTTTTCTATTCTCACTGTTACTCGTTTCTTTCTGACATTAACCTACCAGCCCAAATGAGAGCGAACATACGGTTCATCTCTATGCCTATATTTTTTTTTGCCTGTTCGGTCTGCTAGTCTTGCTTGCGCTGTTAACAGTTTACGCTCCAGAATTCGATGCCACCGTGTATATTGAAGTTATATTTCGGGCACGCTGTACGGAGATGACCTGAGCTTCCCCACTCCCCCGTGGTCCTTTCTTGCCACTTTTGCTCAGTACAGACGATCAGCTCAGTATAGAGCGTCTGGCTTACCGTATACTCATCCAATACGGCCACTCCCATCCAAATCACCCAGTGGAATTGTCGGGGCTTTAAGGCTCACACTAAGCGCGCCAACCTCCGGCTTTTCCTCGCAGCATTTCAAAACCTTCCTGCTGTGGTAGCCCTCCAGGAGCCAGGGAGTGCTGCCATACTGACAAACTATACTACGTTTCAGCAGGGCCCTTTATCTTGTATCTGCGTGCAGCAAAATTATACGGCCAACCTAGTTGATCTCGACCTTAATCCAGCTTTCTCGTACATGATAGTGACACTCCTTCATCTGCGTAAACAGGACCCGCCACTGCACGTGCTAAACATTTATTGCTCAGCGAAACTAAGCAACATTACATTCGCAGACCTTTTTAGCCGCGCCCTAAAGGCTGCAGGCAGGGACCCTTTGGTGTTCGTGGGTGATTTTAATGTTCCAGCTCACTCTGGGGGTATGCACGTGAAGAGAAACGTGGACGTAAATTGGCGGAACCTATGTCCACGCTGGGCCTAACTCTTCACACCGACCCTGCCTACCCAACTCGCGTGGGTAACTCCGTGACCCGGGACACAAGTCCTGATGTTACCCTCACAAAAAAACATCCAGTATGCGGATTGGGTCAACACTGAGGAGACCCTCGGCAGCGACCACTGCATACTCAACACCACCATTCGCACCTATCCTTTGGCAAGACCCTACGGAGAGGCAAAATTACCCGATTACACGAAGTTTCGGCAAATATACGCCAATTCGACACCCATTGAGGAGCAAGGATACCATGCTTGGTCCCAGCAACTGGTTTCCTCATTACGCTCCACAGAAACACAAATTAAACTCTCCGAGGCGACTCCGGCGGTGGATAACCATCTACTTCGCCTCTGGGAGGCCCAGCGCAGCCTCGTCCGTCGATGGCGCCGGCAAAAACGCAACCGAAAGCTCAAATATCGCATCGCTGAGCTCACCCAGCGAGCAGCAGAGTACGCGGCCCAGCTCGCTGACTCTAACTGGGTGGACCGTTGCAACACGACCGCTCGACAAATGTCTTGCCGGAGTACCTGGTGCTTCTTCCGCGCCTTGATTGATCCGACACAAACTCGAACAGAGACACAAAAGCATCTGCAATGAGCATTTCACAGCTTCGATGGAGACACAGCCAAATTGGCATGTAAACTCCGAGACCAATATTGATGCACACAGCAGGACTCCCGAGGGCCGGCGTACTCGTATGCAGGTACCGAGAACGCGGAGCTGGATCAACTGTTCCAGTTACACGACCTAAAGGCAGCCCTAGCAAAATTGAGGTGAGGAACGGCGCCGGGAATTGATAAAATTACCGTGAAATTACTTGCCAATCATCCCGACTCGGCCTACACCATGCTCCTTGCCTACATCAATTCCATTTGGATCGGAAAAACAAGCCTACCAATTGAGTGGAAGACTGCCCTGGTCGCCTTCATACCCAAAGTGGGCAAAGCCATTAACACGGACAACCTCCGCCCCATCTCCTTTACTTCTTGTGTGGGAAAATTAATGGAGACGATGGTGCGCGACAGGTTGTCCGCGTTCCTGGAGACCAAAAATGCATTTGCAGACACCATGTTCGGGTTCCGCCCACACCGGTCCGCGCAGGATGTCTTTATTCAGCTCGACCATGAGATCCTCGATCCAGTCGAGTATCCCCTGAATGACAAAGTTGTGCTCGCTTTGGATCTAAAGGGGGCCTTTGATAACGTGACCCACGAAATTAATCTAACACATCTCTCACAGGTGGATTGCGGTCAAAACACTTTCAACTACATTAAACAATTCCTCACTGACCGACAATCATACATTCGGATTCAGGACATTGGACACGGCCCTTACCGATTAGGCACGAGAGGGACTCCGCAGGGAGCGGTCCTCTCGCCCCTCCTATTCAATGTGGCAATGATGAGACTCCCCGCTCAGCTGGCGAAAGTCGAAGGCATACAGCATGCGCTGTACGCCGACGACATCACCATATGGGCTTCACACGGCTCGGCAGGAGACATGGAGGCAAGCCTGCAGCAAGCGGGGGACATCGTGGATGACTAAGCCCGTCGCTGCGGCCTTCAGTGATCCCCGTTCAAATTGGAATTCGTGCACATACGCCCATCACCAAAGTGCACCACAAAAATCGACCTCTCCCTTCAAAGCGGACCAATACCCGAACGCGATGAGATTAGAGTACTGGCGCTTTTTATACACAAAAATCGCAGAGCAGACACAACATTGACCAAATTGCGTAAGGTGGGGGACCAGGTGGGCCGGATGGTTCGCCGGGTTTCCAACAAGCGCGGGAAGTTACGATGCAAAGATGCCTTGCGGCTGGCGCATGCATTCGTAACCAGCCGAGTCCTGTACTCGGCTCCATACCTCCACCTACGCAAATCCAACTAGAATGCACTCGAAGTCATTCTCCGCAAAATCTACAAGCGCGCCCTCGACCTTCCTGTCAGCACCTCTAACCAGCGCCTTTTGGGCTTGGGAATGGTGAACAACTTCAAGGAGCTGAGAGAGGCGCACTTGACAAACCAATATACTAGACTCTCTAAAACACCGTCGGGTCGCCGCCTCCTTGCCCGGCTACACATCAATTATTCAATACACACGGAAGAGCGCGTACGGATTCCAGAAGTTTGGCGATACTCCTTGCACGTGCGCCCTTTTCCGGCTAACATGACCCGAGTCGACTACAGTGGTTGACGCCTCGCGCGGGCGGAAGCCTTGGCTCGACACTACGGCCACAAACTTATAGTATTCTACGTGGACGCCTCCGGCCCGCACCACGGTGGTTGGTACACGGCTGCGGTCGTCCACCAAAACACCGTTGTAAATAGACTCACATTCCGTGCACATAACATTACGCACGTGGAGGAGATCGCCATCGCACTAGTCGCCGCCGATCAGGAATCGAGGGTCATCATCAGCGACTCAAGGGGTGCCTGTCGCAATATTGAACAGGGATACATTCCGTACAGTGCTTATAAAATTTTGCAGAACAGCAGCTACCTAGGTGCCCCCGCGCACCGAACGATCATATGGGCTCCGGCTAACACGGGCCTCGATGGTAATGAGACGGCCGATGCCGCCGCCCGCGCGCTCACTCTCCGGGCACCATCCTCGTCCCCTACCGATCCGGAACTCGAACCCAATCCCACCTACACCTTTAAGGAGGTCACACAATTTTATCAATCCGGCCATAACGTCTATCCGAAATCCTGTAAGGGCCTCACGAAGGCGGAGGAGCGAATCCTCCTTCGCCTTTATACTAAAACTCTATTGTGCCCGGCAATTGAAACTGTTAATTGTGAATTGCCGTAGCATTCTGAACAAAGAGCTCGATCTTGAACACCTGATAGCACTTCATGACCCCGACGTAGTCGCACTCACAGAAACATGGCTTCATGACGGTGTCTATGACAGCGAAATTGCGCCTTCGAGGTTCAACGTGTACAGAAGGGATTGTGGTTCCAGAGGGGGCGGAGTTGCGTTGCTGGTTAAAAATATTTACAGGATAGCACGCATGCCTGATGCCCCTGGCGTTGAGGCTTTATTTTGTAAGCTTATCGATAGAAAATAAAGCCTTGTTATTGGAGTTGTGTATAGGCCCCCTGCCTCAATCCCTGAGGTTTTAGAGCAATTACAGCTGTATATTTCGTCTAAAACAAATCAAACTACCAAGCTTATTTTATGTGGAGACTTCAACTTTCCAGGCATCAACTGGCGTTCGTTTAACGCAGGAAGTTCTGATCCCATTAACGATGAAGCGCTTATTGACATTGCCTTCCGTTTTGATTTAGCGCAACTAGTTAGTGATTACACTCGTGTGCAAGATAACAGTAAATCTATTCTTGATCTTGTCTTTGTGAATGGTAATATTTCCGGAAAAATTGTCTGCGAAGTGGTTACAGGTATTTCACATCACATGGCAGTCTTGGTTGAGCTTCACTCGCTGAAGTACAAAATTGATGTTAAATACACACGTGTGCCAGTATTTCATTCTTCCGACGATGCATCCATCATAGACAGACTGGAGATAGCCTACGACGAACTTTGCGAAAGTGTTAATCTGGGTTTGAGTGATGTTAACGCTCTGTGGTTAAAGTATAAGAACACTGCGCATGCTTGCATACAGATTTTTGTTCCTTTCAAGAAAAAGAAGGTACATATGTCGAAACCTTGGATTACACGAGATATAATTCACATTAAAAGAAAAATTAGTTGTCTTCGGAAATCACTAAAAAAGCACATGAGTATCACAACACGTTCTCTGATCCGCGATCTGTCTCGACAACTAAAAGATAAGATGAAGATCGAACAACGCAGTTTTTACGATGTAAAGTTAACTCACATGATGAAGGAATCGCCGTCTCATTTTTGGCATTTTATAAGGCCAAAGTCATCCAATAGAGACACGTTTGTTATAAATAACGTTTGCACATCAGATGAAACAGAAATAGTCAATGCATTTAACGAACACTTCGCATCTGTTTTTACTTGTGATGACAAAACCACCCCCACTTTTAGCAAGTTTAAAGACCTGCCTACCATTGAAAATCTGGAAGTCACAGAAGCTGGCGTATTTGAATTATTACTGAATTTTAATGTAAGAAAATTTTGTGGCCCAGATGACTTATCAAAGCCTTTTTAAAGGGATATGCTGAATGGTCCTCAAAATTTTTGACAATTATTTTTAATGAATCGTTATCCAGAGGTGTCCTGCCTGAGGATTGGAAATTCTCTAAAATTAAGCCTTTATTCAAACATGGAGATAAACAGTTGTTTTGTAATTATCGCCCAATAGCTTTGACTTGCACATGCTGCAAGTTATGGGAACACATAATACATAAACACATTTCCTGCTTCTTGTAGTCGCACTCAGTACTTTCACCAGCTCAGCATGGTTTTAGGCGTGGGTTTTCCACAGTAACACAATTGGTTGAAATTGTCCATGACTTCGCACTAGCCATAAATAACCAGTCACAGATAGATGCTGTTTTTTTTAGACTTCGCGAAGGCCTTCGACAAAATCTCTCATTCCAGACTACTTATTAAACTTTGGGCAGTATTAAAAAACCCACAGCTTTGTCAATGGATACAAGCATACCTGGGATCTCGAAAACAGTATGTTGTTTTAATGAACATTTCTCAAAAAAGCTGCCTGTAGATTCGGGTGTCCCCCAGGGATCAGTTTTAGGACCGTTATTGTTCCTTCTTTTTATAAATGACATGGTGGATGATTGTGGCGTTAAAATAAGACTATATGATGACGACTGTGTTTTGTATAGTGAGATAAATTCAACTTCAGATCAAAATGCACTGAATTTTGAATTAGATAAAGTGATGCGTTGGTGCAGGACGTGGCAGATGGCTGTGAATTACGACAAATGCGCTGTAATGACCATAAGTAACAAGAAAAATCCTCTTTTACATACATATACAGTTGATCGTAAATCATTAAATCGTGTCAATGAGTTCAAATATCTAGGTCTTATTATAACTGATAACATTCACTGGGCTAGTCATATCACAGCTATTTATTATAAGGCATTGTCTAAATTTCATCTTTTAAGGAGGTCTCTCAAGAGGGCATCTACCATCTGTAAGCTCGCCACTTTCAAAGCATTAATTCTGCTAATTTTAGAATATGCAAATATTATTTGGGACCCGTGTACACAGACGAACACACGTAAGTTGGATAGAGTTCAGAGTAAGGCTGTACGATTTATTTTTAACAGTTACGGTCCATCATCTATTACTCAGTTACTTCGCCAAGCAGACTTAAAAAGCATTACAGTTAGAAATAAAATCGCTCGCCTTAAGTTCATGTTTAAAATTGTCAAGGGTAAGTTACAGAGCCGAACGTGTGACTACATTTCTTTTTCCAGCGGTTATTCTACAAGGCTACGACATCCATACTCATTAGTGCCATTTAAATGCAAGAACAATGTTTTTAAGTATTGTTTTTTTCCCCGAACTGTGACAGAATGGAATGAACTCGATAAAGACGTAGTAACGGTAATTGACTGTGATACATTTCAGGCTCTCCTTGATTTGTAACCCTGATGTATTTTGTATTACGAAAGGCTTGTCTGCATTTTTTTCTTCTTCTTCACAATGTAAGTTTTGACATTTCACGTTGATATTGTCAGTTGAATTTTGTATTGTCTGAGTTTGTTGTATTTGTTAAGAAACCTTGTTATATGTTTTGTACCACCCTGCTAAAGCCCCTATCATTGGGGTTAGCAGTATTGGAAATAAATAAATAAATAAATAAATAAATAAATAAATCATAAAACACTTTGACCCCGCTTGCACAAGGGAGTGCCCGCATTGTGAGGAAAATTCCTCTGACATTTTCCACATGGTGTGGGCATGCCAAAAAACCCCAAACGTTACCCCACTGCCCAACTCTTCGCGGGAGGACTGGGAGGCAGACCTGCTCGGCTGCTCTGACCTGACGGCCCAACGGGCCCTGGTTGAGCGTGCCCGGGCCGCGGCCAACGCCAATAGGCTCCCGTAAGAGGGAGCTCACCTAGTGTTTGTACGGGGCGGCCCCTTAAAGACCGTTCCCACCCTCCCTGTAAATAATATCTGTAAATAAATGTTTTCAGCAGCAGTACCATATACTCGGTAACAGCGTCATAGTGCGCCAGCTGTCGCCCTGACCGACATCAAGTCAAACGATGAAACTGGGTGCGTAGCGCTATCCGCCATTTATGCAAGATGGCGCGCTGCTTCTTCGCAGGACTCGGAGAGGGCCGTCCCAGTGTCGGCGCTGGGCAGCTCCCACGTGTGCGCGGACATATTCTGCTCAAAGTTCGCTCGCTACCGAAACATCGCACGCCTGGCGGGACTGCGGCCATCGCTGGTGTTTCTATCTTACCACGCCGACCTGAACGAGGACAAACGAAGTAAGTGCTCCGCCAGTGGCTGATGTACATATTACATATTTTTAACCACGAAAGTGTTTTGGGGTGGTGTTCATCAAGTTTTCACTGACGTACTTGTGTCACTGAACAGATCACTATTGCGTCGCAGAAATAGGTCAGTCACGGATTTCCTTCACCGAAACAGGTCGGCGCTGGTGGACTTTTCACTGTCTTGGCCCTTCGTGAACTGAAATTAGTGACCTCGCAGTGGTTATGTCTGAACATTGTGGTTCGACATTTGAAAAAAAAAAATACCTGTGCGAAAGATCGGACAAAAAAAACAGTACATCTGGACGTGCGCTGAGCAGGTCAGCACAGGTTCGCATTGGTCAAGAGGTAAGCACTAGACCTAATGTAGAGTATCTTTTCGTCCCGTCTTTCGTGCTGATTTTTCCTGCAATTGGCACACCAACTTTCCCAGACAAAAATATTTCGATGACACTAATTTTTGTCTATCATGGCCCAGCACTGTGAAAATGTCAGCAGCAATTTATAGAAATTGTGACATAACGCTGGATTTGAAAGGAAGTCTTCCTTAATCTCACGTATAAGTCATCTACGAAATTCGATGGCCATTGCTTGACGTCAGGCTTCGAGGAAGATTTCGATACTGATTACCAGAATGGGAAAATCTGAAATAGGTTTTGTTCCTTGGTGATGTTTCAATACAGTAACGTGCCTCAGGAAAAAAATATGCTTGAGACCTGCCCCATATCCGTATAACTGAATTGAGCGAAGCATTATTAATCACTACAGGCGAGAAAATATTGCAAATATCGTTTAGCAAAGTCACAAAGTATGTTTTAATTGAGAGGTCCAGGGGCTGCATGCGACCCGCGGGTCACGAGTTTGAGCCCACTAACTTTAGGAATAGAAGAGGGCGCACAAAATTCGGCGCACGTGTGCCACTAACGAAACTGAAGTCATGGAGTAGAGTCGCCTCCAGAATTTTTCAGTGCGTTGCATTTGATGGTTCTGGCTTGTTGTGGGATATAACCGAATTTGGACGAGGTGTATAAAAAAAAGACAACCGATGCCATTTATGGAGATCGAAAGTTATGTTTAATAATAATCCGAAGAGAACATGTTGTCGAGCCAGAATGGTTTTAGGCCGGTTGCGGTTTTTTTGGGGCATAAAGCACATGTTTACTTTCATGCCAGGCTAATAGTACACAAACACTGAAGATCCGCCAGAGGGGAAGGATGGGAGGCAGCCTTCTCCAGCTCTGCCCTCGAGGAACAGTATAAGCCCTCGTCGAAATTGCCTGGGCCGCTTCCTCAGCCAACAGAAAAACAATAAGGATTGTACCACTCTTCCCTCGATTCCCTTCATCTGAAAAAAGTTGTAATCATCATTTGTTTAGTGATATTGCACTCCATGATTATCGGCCTCCTGCTCAGCGAGAATTTCACCGCTGCTCCTTTTCTTTTCTTTTTGTTTCACGTAGCCGTAGTACGCCTGCGTGAGTTCCTGTCTCCGGATTCGGTCAGCGTGTACTTCAAGCTCGAGCTTGCCCGAACCATCTACGACGACGTCATACACGAGGGCATCTTTGGCGAGTTTCTGTTCAGCGCCGATGAAGAACGGTCCTCGGAGTCTGGTGAGCTGCCACAGCTGCAGCTGGTGGATGGTGCTGTACCCGGGTGAGTGTTTCTTCAGTTCGCACTACGTGCACTCGAATAACAGCCTCCACTGTGTATCAAGTGTTCGCGAGTCAATGTACGGGGACGTTGCTGCGAAAAAAGGCGATGATAAGCTCTCCTTGTAGTTACTATGTCACTAATTTAGAGACGAGTTCAATTGTTTGATAGGGTATACAGAGCGAGCCATAGACTGTAGCACACTTGGCTAACTAAAGAAGTATAGTCACGTGACACGGTGCTTGCCGAGAGCAATAAAAAATGAACACCTCATAACTTTTGGAAAAGACCTCATCCAGCAGTTCAAAGCAGTGGTACAGTGAAACGAAAACAGCTAGGCGTACAGATGACTAAGACGAAGTTTTGTGATTAGTGGCTCGAGGCAGAATTATTATTGGATTGATTGATATGTGTGGTTCGACGTCCTAAAACCACTATATGATTATGAGAGACGCCGAAGTGGAGGGCTCCGGAAATTTAGACCACCTGGGGTTCTTTAACGTGCATTCAAATCTGAGCACACGGGCCTACAACATTTCCGCCTCCATCGGAAATGCAGCCGCCGCAGCCGGGATTTGAGCCCGCGCCCTGCGGGTCAGCAGCCGTGTACCTTAGCCACTAGACCACCGTGGCGGGGCCAGAATTGAAATTTAGCCGTCCCTGAAGAGAGTTGGTACTTCTGTGATGGACCATACATACTACGAATCGGCAAGGGTGCGTGAGCCATCATCCAAGCAATGAATACAGCTTTATCCATTCCTTTATTATTTGGATTACGTCAACAAAGGACGTTTAGTTTATTAACACACACTCTGTTTGCTTTCTCGCTTTACTCACCGAATGTTTTAGTTTGAGGAGCTAAATATTGTCACTTGATATCTGGGACCAACCTTCTAACGAGCGTAATGAGCCTATTTGCCCCCGGAGGCGATAAGAAAGTTGGGAAAAGCTATATGCAACGTTGGACACTTATTTGCTATGGTATGAACTAAGCCCGGAGTTTCGTTCATATTGTAAGCAGTTATATTGCAAGGTCACTCAGAAACATTTGAGAGCAAATAAGGGGAGTCTTTCAAATTTACATAGGCACTTGCTTATAGGATGACTGCCTATCTAGGTACTTAGTCGCCGTGCAGGCCCGGTATATGAACATGTAGATTAAGTATCGAGTAGTTATGTCAGTTGTATTTTATCGCAACTATTTTAATGCGATGGTAGAAGAGATGGGCATGAGCATGAGACGTGTTAAGACACGAAAACTGCTGATCATATAGTGACGGAACGAATACCAAGACGACAGAATCATTTTAGGGGCAGGCAAGTGGTTGGGCGAGAAGAACTTTGCGGTAATGAATTGGCCGCAATAAGCATAGCAAAGAAATATTTGGAGAAACATGGAAAAGGCCTTTGCTTTGCCCTGTAGAGGCAGTGGTAATGTGCGTGCCTGAGCCCGGCGCGCTGGGAAGTGAAAACACTCGCGGTCTTCTATAAAGGAAAGGACTTTAAGGGTGGTTTGTGTGACTAGAGTATAAGGTGAAAAGGTGGAATAGTTCGTATCGTGCGCAACCTCTTCAAGATCCTCGCAACTCCTGCAGGCCGTTGTCTTTGCCATCTGGTGCGAGCGGCCACGAGGCGTGGCGGCGACCACGGATCGATGGCTCATGGACGACGCCGCCTCTGGACCTTGAAGCGGCCCTGCCCAGCCCGTCCACCTCGGCGGCGCCGCTACAGTTTACGTGGGTGCTCGGACACCGTCAAGCATCGGCGGTGGGCGGCGATGGAGGCGCCGTTTTCCGCAACGTGCTCCCGGGTGTCCTCGTCTTCAAGTGGCTTCGCGTCACTGAGATTAACATCGAGGGCAACGCGGTAACCTCGCACTTCGTGGAGGAGGCCACCGGAAGGACCGTGCAGGTACAATTGCGATCGAGACGCGTGCTACGGGCGCGCATAAGACTATGGTACAGTTTTAGTCAATTTTAGCGTGAAATGAAACTTGGTTATTAACTTTATTGTGTAACAACTTTATTGACGATGCCAAACGGACTTGTAGCATTCACTCAACACGGGTCGTCGCTGTAGCTGACGTTTCCATCAGCGGACGCTTCTTCCAGGTGACATCTTCCTACCATAGAGCGTGAATGTGCGTAGTTGTAGTGTCCTCTGTAATAGACAGGGCCGTTTGTGGAAACGTTGACTCCACCGACACTCCGTGTTGCAAGAATGTTTCATCACTTCAAGATGCAATCTCTCCCTGATCATCGACCACACTTTGATTTAAAATTAATAGAAAGTGCTAAGGGTGAAACGTTGTCTGAACATTGCGAAATGCTCCACTCGCTTTTTTCATGATCAAAAAATGATTCACTTGCAGATTTTACCATAGTATATTTCAGCGATTCATGTTGCTTTTTGCTCTGAAAAGGAAGTGCTCAAGAGCCACATATTTCCCTCTTACCTCGCAGATAACGTCCGCTACCGTCTTAGGCGGAATGACCCGGAATCAGCTGGACCCGTTCATGAGGCGGCTGAGCGAGCACTTCGGCTCCACCGGCGGCACCATCACCGTGGCGTTTCCTCGGAACCAGGACGAGGCGCTCGGAGAGCTGGAGGCCTTCGAGCGCTGTTTTCCGTCGGTGCCGGCGTTGGCCAACCAGGCCACCGAGTTCAACGTGGACGGTCCGTACGCGCCGATGAGCCGGCTCAAGCTCGTACTGCTGCTCATCAAGCTGCTCGACTGAACGGGTGAGCGACGCATTAACTGACCTTTTGGTAGCGGATGCGAATACGATTTGGTAAACGTGCGGAAATGCGTTTTTTTTCTATAGTTCGTGGTAAGCATAGGTCGGTATACGAAAATGGAGCTCACTCAGACCCACTCGTTAAAGTTCCGGTTATTTCGACAACAATTGTGGCTGAAGACGTCTGGTGTTATATTCCACGAACGGTTGACTTCACATCTTTACCTCCTCGCGCCTGGGGATCAAAATCAAGTGGTTGTGTGCAGCATGCGATCGCTTTATTTAAATTTTGGTTCTATTGCGAAGCACGTTTTATTGATTGATTCATTGATTGATTCATTGAATGATATTGTTACGCACAAGGAGGACCAGGAAGTGTACTGCTGAAGGGGGCCGTTTATTTTGGTCGCGAAGAGAAGCACCGGAGCGGCCAACAGGTCGATGATCGCAGTGTCGTCGTCTTCTTTCTTCCTCCAGCTTAGGGCAGCCAGCATGTTCACCCATCTTCGTTTTCTTCCAAGGCATGCGTAACAGTCCTCCCCTCGCAGACGAAGCCCGCCGGGCGAGGTAACCGATTCACCTTGGTGTGTACAGCTTCAGTCGAGCGACATGGACTGCTTGGGTTTTAGCGGCTCGTCTATCACTTCTCGTGAGGCGAGCTATTGTGTATGTGACTTCCGTGATTTTGTCTAGAACGACAAACGGTTCGTCGTATGTGGCCAAGAACTTTTGGCATAACCCGCGTCTTCGTACCGGAGTCCACAGCCACACTAAGTCGCCTGGATGGTAAGTTACAGGCCGGTGGCGGACATCATAGCGTACCTTCGATTTTTCCTGTGATGCCAAAGTGCGTAGACGAGCAATACGACGCGCCTCTTCTGCAAGGCAGAGGATTTCGGTGACTGAGAGGTTCTCGTGCGCCGAGAATGGCAAAACTGTGTCGAGTGTGTGCCGTGGCGGTCGTGCGTATATTAAGGAAAAAGGGCTATAGCCTGTTGTCTCGTGCTTAGCGGTGTTGAACCGCTAAGCACGAGACAACAGGCTATAGCCCCTTTGCGTACGTAAGCGTACGTATATATAGCACCTATGCGTACGTTATATATGGTAGCACGATGGAAAACTGGGCTAGTTGGTGAGCATTCATCGTGGTTAACAGCGCGAAACACCCGGACAGGAGCGATAGAAGGACACATAGGAGGATAGAAGGACGGCAGCGCTGTACCGTGTCCTTCTATCGCTCCTGTCCGGGTGTTTCGCGCTGTTAACCACGATGAATGCTCACCAACTAGCCCAGTTTTCCATCTTGCTCAACGTTATTTCTAGTACAAAGGGCTCTTTTCCATGTTCTAATGACTTCTTGACTAATCCCGGCTTTTTGACGTCGATGATAGCCGTTTACGTGTGCAAAGCAAGAGTAGCGTCTTGGTATGCCAGGAAGTCGCTATGCCCTCCCGACCTGCAGTCTTTGTGTGGGTGGATGACTCCGTCTGAGGGACACGCTCGGAGGATGTGCCGCATTTTACGCGCGGAGTGGTGGCAACACGTGAGGGTGTACAAGGATCTTTTGCGTTTAGCCTGTGCGAAAGAGGCTTCCGAAGCGCGAAGACGGCTTCTCCTGAAGGAGTGGACTAAAGTGTCCTACCACGCTACGGAGTTCTTATGGAGTCAAGTTCGACCTTCGCTACCTAAGAAGAAAGAAGTGAAAGGAACAGGGAATGTGACCATTATCGGGGACCAAGTAGTACCAGACAAGTTTCTACAGGTCCTTCAACTAGGGCCCAAATTCTGTCTCGAGCCGCGTCTGAAACAGCTGGATAAGGTCGTCTTAGCCAGGACAGTGGCTCACCGAGCTGAGGAGGAGGACAGACTAAGGTGTGTGTCTGAGTGCGTCGATGTGTTGTTGAAACCGTCGAAGGATTCTAGGTGTTCGAGAAGGTTAGGACCTCTGATTGATTTCTGTGCGAATAGTAATTTGCGCATTCTAGAGTCTGACAAAGAAGGACATTTTGTTATTATTCCGGAAAACTTGTATTTGGAAAAAGCAACCACAGCAATGGATAAGAATTTTCGCGAAGTTTCCGTTGATCCCTCTAAGATTAAATCACGTGCTTTGGCTTTGATGAATGAGGTTGGATTAACGAAAGTAGCAAACGAAGTCAGCGAGAAAAAGGGCTCCTTCTGCAGGCCTTCTTCAGTGTAAAGACGCATAAGCAGAACTATCCTTTCAGGACCATCGTCTCGGAAAGAAGGTCATGGTTAAATGTTATTTCAGGGTACTTGCAGACTAATCTCGCACAGCTTAAGCTGGAGGACCCTTTCGAAGACGCCAGTTCTGACTGCGTAGTTCAAGTTCTGCAGAATAATAACCCTGGCGGTTGCTTTGGATTCAGCATAGACATAGAAGATCTTTATTATTCCCTGCCTCATGTACAGTTATTGAAATTCGTGCAACAGACCATCGAGGGACAAATGAATGAGTTAGGCTTCGTCGAAAGTTGCAAAATACCGGTTGCTAGCTTCCTAGAGCTTTTGGAGTTTTACTTGAAGTCCACGATCGTTCAGTGGCAAGGAAGGACAGTTATCCAAAGGGCAGGAGTGTGCATAGGTTCCTGCGTAGCGCCAGTACTAAGCAGCATCTTTTAAGTTTCGTTGACCGCAAAATAAATGATAACCTAGGTGAATTAGCTTTGAGAATTTTCCGCTTTGTGGATGACTATTTGGTTTTCGTCAATAGGCTAAATTTCCAAAGATCGATTGTGGACGTCGTAAAGTTGTTTAATGAACAGGGACAAGGTCTTAGGTTTACTATTGAGGTTCCTGAAAAGGAGGAGTTGCAGTTCTTAGACCTTAGACTGTCTTTCAAAGCGGAACATGTGTGTTGGACCTATCAACCGAGGTCAAAGAAGTCTCTTCTTGATTTCAGATCAGGGCACTCGAAATTGATTAAACGAGGTATAGCTACTTCCGCTATAAGGTCCGCCCTCAATAAGAGTTGTCCCCATCGAATGCTTGACAGCGTTAACTATCAGGTGGCGAGGCTGCGTGATGCAGGCTTTCCTCACTCTATCATTTCTACGACTTGCGATAAGCTGCTGCGTGAGGTCAAGGGGCAGTCCTCCCGAGTGAAAGAAAAAGATTTTAGCCGTTCTGTCTACATTCCATATGTTCATTCTTTTTCGCACAGATTAAAGAAAGTAGCATCTAAGTTCAGATTAAACGTTGGGTTTTCAAGCAGAACGAAGCTTAAGGGACTTTGCCAGGCAGTAAACACTCGCATAGAAGGCAGGAAGACTGGAATTTATCAGCAGTGTAGTATCAAACATACTATGAAGTTTCTCCCGTGCATGCAGAATGTCGTGTACTCAACCCCATTTTCATGCGGGCGAGAGTACATTGGTCAGACCGGGCGTTGTGTCAATATACGGCTAAGGGAACACCACAGTTCCTTGAAAGGATTTGCGCATTCACATTTGTCTTTGCATTGCCGCGAATGTGGATGCCACCCACTTTTTGAAAAAACAAAAGTACTCTTCAAGCACCCAGACAAGCTTTCAAGAGAAATTATGGAGGCATTTTTTATAAATAAGAAAGGGTCTCAATGCGTTAGCCAGCCGTCTATCGCCTTACTTGGTAATGAATTATCCTTGTTAGATAGTGGCTAAAGTTCATTCGTCTGCTCATGCCCGGTTTTCTTGGCGACATTGGAATCTTATAGTTTGAAGTATGTGTTATTTTTGTGGCAAGATTGCGTGCACATGACAAAGCCTTGTCGCCGTGTATAATTTTATCGATTGAGGGGGCTGGTTTGGTCACGAGGTCTTCTGTTCTGTCTTTATATATATTCTCGTGTTTTCAATAAAAATTTCAGTTGAAAGAACAGCGCTGTACCGTGTCCTTCTATCGCTCCTGTCCGGGTGTTTCGCGCTGTTAACCACGATGGTAGCACGACATCCCATTTCTTGTGGTCGGATGCCACATACATAGAGAGCATGTTTACAATTGTTCGGTTGGTGCGCTCCGTGAGCCCATTTGTTTGCGGATGGTATGGCGACGAGTGACGAAGGCGGGACTCACTCAATCGAAGCAGCTCTTCTACTATGTCTGCCGTAAATTGTCGCCCACGATCACTGATGATCACGTGAGGTGGGCCATGTCGGAGGATAACGTGCTGCAGCAGGAACACAGAGACGTCACTGGCAGTTGCGGTTGGTATGGCCGCAGTCTCGCAGTAGCGCGTGAGGTAATCGACACATATACAATTATCCAGCGATTGCCCTTAGCTGACTTTGGAAAAGGGCCCATGAGGTCAATGCCCACCTGTTGGAAAGGTGTGCTTGGAGGTGGCAAGGGCTGTAGAAGACCAGCCGGAGCAGTAGATGGGCGTTTGTGGCGTTGACACTGCGTGCAGCTGGCCACATACGCCTCGACTGACTGTCGCATTCCTGGCCAATAAAAGGGTTCCTTAGCACGGTGAAGCGTCCGCGCAGAACCTAAATGTCCGGACGTAGGATCGTCGTGCATAGCACCTAAAATCGCTGTCCGAAGGGTTTCTGGCACTACGAGGAGGAAATGTGCGCCAGTGCGGGAAAAGTTCTTTTATAGGAGTCCGTTGCGTACACAGAAATGGCATGCCGAAGGAGCTGTGCAAAGCGATGATAGCCTGGTGTCCTTCAGCTGTTCATCTTTGAAAGTACTGAGGTCGGGAAACTTTGGTGTCACAGAAGCTACGAGGTGATCGAGGTCATCGGCGTCACACTCTGTAGTGCTCAGTGGCATGCGCGAAAGGCAATCGGCGTCGGCGTGTCGTCGACCACTTTTGTACGAGTATATAAAGTTATACTCTTGGAGCCGAAGTGCCCAGCGCGCTAGACGGCCGCAAGGATCCCGAAGGTTGACGAGCGAACACAATGAGTGGTGGTCGGTGACGACTGTAAAAGGGTGTCCGTATAAGTAAGACCAAAACCGCTGAATTGCAAATACTACCGTGAGGCATTCTTGTT